TAAACGTGGTGGCACGAGTTCTTACCCAATTAGTATGACTGATGGATTAGTTACTACGTCGGATGGTAAACAAATTTGTGAAATGTTTGCGTCACACTTTGCATCTGCATACATAAATAGTAGTCCTCGAAACTCTGGTAGCAGAGATACCTTGGGGTATGTCGAGAATATCAATCAATGCTTAATAATACCTACTATAGACTCTGATACTCTACTGAGGAAGCTAAAAAATCTCGATGAAAGCAAAGGTGCAGGCCCGGATGGGATTCCTCCTATGTTTATAAAAAGATGTGCTACATACTTAGTTGAGCCTTTATTGAGAATATTTAATATGTCTTTACAGACGGGAACGTTTCCGACAGAATGGAAAAAGGCAAGAGTAGTTCCAATTCATAAAGCAAATGACGATGATATCATCTCAAACTACAGACCCATTTCCATTTTATCAACACCAGCTAAGGTATTGGAATCTCTCATCTGTCCTTTTGTGCAGCGTCATTTTAAACAGAGTTTGTGCACTCAACAACATGGTTTTGTTCCCTCTCGTTCAACGTGTACCAACTTGGTAGATCTCACAGAAAACTTGGCAGAGGCTCTGGATTGTCATAAGCAAGTAGACGTTATATATACAGATTTTAGCAAGGCTTTTGACCGTTTGCCTCATGATATATTGTTAAGCAAATTGTCTGCTTATGGAATTTGTGGAATTTTTTTGCGATGGTTAAGGTCTTACTTGGAAGGTCGAACATTCTCTGTAGTGGTTAATGGGTTTCATTCTAACTGGCGGAAAATAGCTTCTGGTGTGCCGCAGGGGTCTCATTTGGGTCCAATCTTGTTCAATTCGTTTGTTAATGATATACCAACTGTTGTTAATTTCTCAAAAGTTTTTATGTATGCAGATGACCTGAAAATTGCTAGGGTCATAAATACAATACATGATTCAATAATGCTTCAAAGAGATCTCGATGAGCTTGTTGAATGGTGTTTGCACAATGAAATGTATCTGAATCCAGAAAAGTGTTTTTTTTGTAAGGTATGGTCGAAAGAGAAATTTCGTTACATTTCAGTATCATATCGCTCGTGGTAATATCCAAGAACTTGAGCAAATCCGCGATTTGGGTGTATTATTTGACAAAAAACTGACATTTGTACCTCACATGGAGCAAATGGTAAACCGGGCCTCAAAAATTTTGGGGTTTGTTTTGAGAAATATTGAAGGGCTACGCAACAACAGGGTTCGGATTCTGTTGTACAACTCCCTTGTACGCAGTATTTTAGAATATTGTTCAGTGGTATGGAGGCCTCACTATGCGACTCATTCTCTACAAATAGAACGCATACAGAAAAGATTTTTGCGGTATCTCTTATCTTCAAACGGGATTTCAAAAAAGAAAATCCCTTCGTATCATAAACAGCTGGAACACTTCCGAATGATTTCCTTAGAAGAACGTAGAAAGCGGTTAGACCTATTTTTTGTTTCGAAAATTTTCACTAATGAAATCGATTGCCCTCAGTTACTGAATAAATTTAATATGCGCGTACCGAAGAGACCTCCTCGTAATAAAATAACGCCCCTCTGTCCACCACCCCGGAAAACAGTGTTTGGATCAAATTCGCCTGTCCCTAGACTTTGCAGGCTGGTCAATGACTACAGTGACCTACTCGATATTAATGCAGATTCAACCAATAAGATTCGATTACTGTTAAATGCCAAACGCTAATTATAATAGAAATGTATTTGCCTTTTTGTATTATCCTTTTCTTATTTGTTTTGTTTTTGCCTTAGCTCGTACTTAGAAGTTTTATTATATCCCTACTAAGCATGATGTATCTACCTGTAAGTGTTTGTTACACCTGGATTAATTTCTGTGTACTATGTATTTATATTTGTATATGTACTGATGTAAACAAACGTTGGTGGATCAATAAATAAAAAAATAAATAAATAAATAAATTATTTTTATATTGTTTATGGAGTTTTCATAACCGCTATAAATATTATTGTGAAGGATTTTACTATATCTTAATCAATTTAACGCAATTTACCCAAATTTTCAGACGATTTTTGTGGAAACGCCCCCTCAGCATTCTGGAAAATCGATGTCTATGAGCGGACCCTCCCCGTTAGCGGCTTTGCCATGAATGCAATGGCCTCGTTAGCGGCTCTGTAGAACCACGTACATTCTGCACCAGAGAGTGAGTTATACGTGCTGAATAACCAAGAACGTGCTCGACGGTAAAAACTAATCTTACGAACGAGATTACGGTATTCTTAAATCTTGCAGTAGTATTCTTGGGTTTAGATTTAATTTGATTAATTATGGAATCTAAAGCAAAAGGCCACCCAGCCATCTTCTCTATTAAAATTAGGTTCACATAAATTACGCGATAAAATTTGTAAAATTAGTCTTATTCAATATGTACCTAGTATTCGCGAAAATTTAAGAAATCATTTGAAATTGATCGTAGTAGCTCAGATGGTTAACTTTCGTTCTAAATCCTACAGTCCCGAGCAAACCGGGTTCGATCCCCGCCGGCAACAATGAAATTATTAATTGCAATTTTAAGTGCTGTTTTACCGCGTGCTTGGCGGTGAAGGAAAACATCGTGAGTAAACCTGCATGTCTGCGAAATAAGAAAAAAATATATTTCGAACACATGCGAATTTCGCCAACACGCATTTTAGCAGCGTATTTAAGCTGTAGCTTTAACTTTTTATTTGACAATGAAGACTTCCGCATGTTGCATTGGCGCAGAGCGGTGTAGGTAGATCCGAAACCCTCTTAGAAACAAAAAGGTGTCTAAGAGTGGGGTGTACCTATAAAGGCTGTGGCGTTAACTTTTAACTAATATTTAGGATAAGTTCCATGTAAACCTGACTTTATTAGAAGCGGGGTCAAATGTCATTCTCATTTCTGACACAAAGCAACGGAACGCGCTACGCGGTCGCCATGTTGTCTTCAACGACTATCATATCTACACTATTAGTGCCGAGAAGCGTACATTTTTACGACGAAATTGACAATTCACGAGGGAAAATTGTCTTAAACACGTAGTAAACTGTGTAATTTTTTTGTGGAAAATACGATGATTTAGGCGGATATCACCAGCGATTGTCTCGGCAGAGGCCATTTTAGAGTTTTATTGTGGCTAGTTTAAGGGGAACAAACTTTTTTCGGATTATCTTTAAATTGTTACAGTTTATTCTTATAACTGTTAGTGCAGATTTTGCATTTATTTTTTTATATTTCTGTGTTGCCAAGTCTAAATAAATATAATTGTCGAAAGTTTTCTTATTTAGTATTAGGCTGTTCCGTTACGGACGTTGTTAATATAAATATAAACTGTATATACGTGGTAAAGCTACGTTGCAGCTATATTATAGTTGTAGCACAAATGGGTTGGCTCGACCGAGGAAGGACCACGCTCTCACAGAATACCAGCGTAAAATAGCAGCTCAATACTGCTGTGTTTCGTATAGTGAGTGTACATATTCGGAGCTCCTTTTTTACTGAAGATGAGGCGTCCTATCTTAATCCTCAGGGGTGACGACGCATCTGAGTTTTGAGTCTTAATACCGAGGATAAATGTAGACGTCTATGGACCACAGCATCCACATGAATTGAACTTGGATGGAATGCCTCAATTCCAGTAAAACGGTAAAACGATTGTAAGAGTAGTTTTAATGTTCGTAGTACTATCACAGAATAAGTCTAAATCATAGACTTATTCTGTGATAGTACACAGAAGAATAATAACCTTAGTATCAATAATACACAGTAGTATCAATTATACACAGTAGTAAAAGAATAATACACGGTAGAATGGCTGTCAACTTTATTTTATACGAGGATTGGCGTCGCCAAACCCGATTCGCTGTGTTGACAAACTGAGTAAATTTACACATTTGAGACTTTTGATTAATGTTCAAGATCATCATTAAAAAATATTTTAAATTTTAATACATATTTATTTGTAAATAGCGTGCAATTTGGCATTTTCTAAATAATTTGCATGCGAAATTTGGAAACGTTTGTAACGTCAAAACACATCTCGTGTTGACATTTATACGTGTGAATTGACGTGTTAGTGACATTTCAGTGGCTACGCGGGCTCCGCCCACTGCCCCGTTCTATTATGTATGTATTATAGTATTCTATGGTCTAAATCGTTGTTTTCAGTATACTTATTAAATAAACTTAAAGCTGTTTGTATAAAACTATTACTTCTATAGTTAATACGACAAGTTGAAACATGGAGTAATAGATTTTGCGTAGTTTATTTACAGGGGCTACGAGTAGGTGGATTGAGAGTTCGTTTCTCACTTGAGTATGATAAACACAAAGGTTTACATTGTTACTCTTCTTGTTAAATCTGAAATTAATATTCTTATTAAATCTCATTGAAATAATCCAAGTAATTTTAATCTGTGACACTTTATTGGATGCACTAATTCTCTCTTTTTGGTTGCACAAGGTATGCTGTGGTCCAAATTACCCACTACAATATAATTATTATTAATGCAATAGGTATTTCGTTAAAAATTGCAGTTCAGCACAATAATCAAGGCGTCGATTCGAATTCCTGACTTTTTAAATACCCTACTACTGTTATATATAATATTGTATTTAGTTGTGAACGGTCCATTACTGGAATTTCAAAACCTAATAATATATGTATGCATTGCATCTTTGTAAGTTTTGTCGAATTTACCACATGAAATACTCCGAGACAATATTCAAAATACTAATTTATAATAATTCCAACCGCCAATTCCACTATCTTAGACAATAGCTCAAGTCTCAATTTAATCTGCCTCATCTCGGTGGTAGGCCATCCAACATACTGCGTTTTTCTAAGAATTATCTACCACGACCACATTGTAGAATTTATTTACTATCACTAGCGATTTTTTCGTGCCGATACAAATTTAAGGTAAAGGTAATTCAAGATATTGAGCTCGTATTGGAGGCAAACGGAGCCACAGATCTGCACACTCTTTAGCTACAGGCCCAGTGATTGCAGTCTTTCATTTCTCCTTCGTTATTTACTATGACACCTGTACTTTCTTCAAAGTATATAAAAACACCATTGCCCCTCCTAAATGGTTTTCTTTGCCTGATCACTACAGCTGGCATTACATTCTTTCTGAGTTCAGGCTTGCCTACAGTAGCTACAATCATGTCACCAGAACTAGCAGCTGGCAGCCTGTTAAGGCGAACTTTAATACCTTGTACAGCGATCACATAGTAGTTCTTTGCTACCGCGTTATTGGCGCAGTTAATGACGGCATCCACTGGAAGATTTAGTGAGATGTGGAACCTTGTTCCCGCAGAACCACAACGTCCTCTCTTAGACATTCTGTTGTGTCACTTTTAGGAAAAGAAATCAAAAGGTTACTTTCCTTTATTTCTAGACTGTGTAGATTAGGGCACGTGAGGGTAATATGGTCACCTTAAGCTCTGCCGTCATATAAAACCAAAACTAAGACGAGGACAGAGACAAAAATACAAAGTCGTATACTATAACTAAAATATTAAGAAATAAGAGCAAGCTTTGGCAATAATTATGCTCCCTTCGAAAAATCTACATAACAAACTAACTACACTACACCATACTAAAATCGACTAAATATTTACTACAATGTCAACTGTCAAAATGACGTCGATAAAACAGCGCCCTTTTAAACCTTTATTATCGGATTGACTGATTTATTTTTTATAGGATAAGGCTAAGAAACGAGCATACAGTCCACCTGATGATAAGTGTATGTTGTGGCCCATATACATCTACATTTAACCTCGATTAAAAATTTAAAATGCAGATGCGTTGTTACCCTTGAGGACTAAGATGGAATGCCTCGATTCCAGTAAAACGAGTCTCCGGTTCTCTACACTCACCATACGAAACACAGCGGCATTAAGCTGCTATTTTACGCTGGTCTTCTGTGAGACCGTGGTCCTTCCCCGGTCGAGCCGAACCATTCATGCTACAACTATAATAACTACAGCGTGGCTCTACCACCTGCACTGATGAAGAGCTATCGTACCACAGAACCATCTATACAAAGCTGTAGTTTGGCGTAATAAGAAAGTTACCATATTAACCGGATGACCATATTACCCTCACGTACTATATTTAAGAAATTCTTAAGTAAAGGTGAACATAGAAGAAACGATATAAAACAATAATTATTCAGTATATCAGACAATTATTTTACAAATATAACCTCGATCAAATTAACAGTCCAATTTGTCAAAAAAACATCGGCAAACACAAACGTCATTTCTTAAAAACCGTTAAATAAGTTATGAATAGACGTGAAATCGATTTATACCGGCACCACGGCGAACCCCTGTCACACAGAGTGATTAAACGCAAACATTTGCTTAGAAAACCGTAATAAGCGTGACCGCCTCTCACACGGATAAGTAACGAAAAAGACCGACAATTTACACGACTAATTTTCCTTTAATTAGTCCTCAAGGTTTTTTTTATTCACATTTAATTTATGGAGGCACAGGAACTCGCTGTGAAAAGCCGAAAATCGTGTTTAGTGCCGGAGTAGTAACCGCAGTGCGCCTGATGATGAAAATTTAGTTGCTAGAGTATCGACAGCATATCAATGGGTTTTTGCCCAAAAATAAACATTATATACAATAAAAAATTTCTGGCCTCTTTAAGTATTTGGTTTAATACTCAAAGTCTGGCCTCGATATCACTTGCGATAGGGTTTATCTAACTTCAAATCAAAATTAATCAATTTCTTTAAAAATAATGAATCAATTAATTAAAAAGTATAATATTGGAATTGTTTTTGTTTTCTATAATGTGATTAATGTAATTTGATATGATAATGAAGTTATCTATAATATTATTAAATAATTTTATTTCTTTTTAATAGTTTATTTATTCAATGATGTAGTTCAATTTTTTTCTTACTATCCTTTCATTTAACAAATAATCATGCATGTTGTGATTACAGCTATAAGAAGAAATACAATTATAATGTGCTTAATTTGTTATGAAAATGATCTTTGTATTATTATTGTAATTTCTGTTGATAATCCTAATAAATAAATAATAAGTAAAATGCCTATATTATTTAACTAAATTGGACATTAAAATATCCAGAACGAAAACAATATTACTTTTAAATAGAAAATACAAATACTTTTCTGTGAAAATGCGGCCTAACACCTATGTAGATATTTAGGAGTTCAGTCCGGCACTCGGAGAGGTTTTTCCGTTTGTCGCTCTCACACGGGTTGATAGCGACGTCTCATCGAAATTATATGATCAGTGCCGGTCAGTGGTTAGTCAGTTAAGATCTCATTATAAAGTATTGTGTCGATATCAGTGTCGTTTCAGGGTATGTGTATCTGCACATTGAAAACTCATGGGATAAAATATTACTGGCATTCTTCATTTTTCAATGCAAGTCACCAGCCATTTTATTACAAACTATGAACTATTTTTTCAAGAATTCAGGGTGACATACAAGCACACAGTCCACCTGAGTAAGTGGATATTTGATTAGAATGCAATGCTTCATTATTTGTTAAATGGGTTTCTATTTCTCGTCACATATTATACAATAAGAAGATGCTGCTATTTTACGACGGTATTCTCTGAGAGCGCTGTATATGGTGAGTGTAGAGATCCGGAGACCCCCTTTTACTGGGAACGAGGCATTCTATCTTAGTCCTCAGGGGTGACCACGCATCTGCATTTTAGTTGTTAATCGAGGATAGATGTAGACATATATGGACTACATCATCCACTTACCTTCAGATGGACTGTGTGCTCGTTTGTTGACTACCCTTTACCCTTATTCTATATAAAAGGCGCTATAAATGAAGGTGCGTTTTAGGTCAGTAGGATACAACATAAAATACTTACGTATAGTTACTACTGTAAGTGGTAGAGCTACCCTGCAGCTATTTTATGGTTGTAGAACGAATTGTTCTTTAGCCGACTGCGGAAGGACTAAAGCCCTCACAGAATACCAGCGTAAAATAGTAGCTTAATGCTGCTGTGTTTCGTATGGTGAGTGTAGAGTAGCGGAGACCCTATTTACTGGAAACGAGGCATTCCATTTTAATCCTCACGGTTGACAACGCATCTTCATTTTGACTCGTAAACGAGGATATATGTAGGTATCTATGAGCAACAGCATCCACTTACCATCAGGTGGACTGTGTGCTCGTTTTTCATCCTTATCCTATAAAAAAATAGATGGCATTGTAACTGAGAATTCTTTGACAGAAAAATCCAATAGCTGATATTAGGCTGACCTGGGATCCGAACCCGGGACTTCATCATCAGCTACCGCGTTTACGACTACTACACCAATGAAGCAGTGACATATATAGATATATGGTAGGGTGCGAAAGATACGCTGTATGCTGATACGGTGATATGGTGAAATAATTTGATTAATTGATTCTAATAATCCTACCCACCTTTGGATACTTTAGTTGTGATTATAAGCAAGGATGCTAAAAATATTTTTGAAATAAATTCTAGAAACTAAAATATTATTTTTACAGATAAAAATTAACAAAACTGTATTTTTCTAACTCGTAACCGATATATCGTCTTATAACTGGCTGTCAAAATTTAAAAAAAAGTGCCCGACGTACAAAAAAGGTTTTATACACGCCGGTGTCACATAGATCCAATAAAATCATACATTCGCCGAACAGTCAGGGATCATTCGTAACGCATCAATAAGGGTATAATGTTAGGGGCAGTTTACGCTCAATTGGTTGCAAATTATTGTTAGAGAAAATGATAGGTTCGCTACATTAGGGTGCTGTAATCATTTTTCCCTTTTTAAATCTAATTCGAGAGGAAACCTACATGTTTAACCGGTGCGACCCGAAAGGTCCACACGACTAACTTCTCAGTGGAAAGAATAAAAAAATATCATATGTTTTAATATTTTATACATTTTTTCATTCGGCACAAAAAAACGACTCGACCCATTTTGCTCAAAATTTAATGAGGTCTAAGTTACATAATTATGCGTTAAATGAAGCTGGTCCCATGTCAATATCGCTCTTTGTCTTTGAGATACACGAGGCGAAAATTGAATCCAAACATACATACATACAAGCATACGTACATGTGCACATACGGACATCCTCTTAAAAACCATACTATTCGACTCTAAAGACCTTGAAACGTAGAGATATGTTAAAATTTGCAATTTGCAAAATCGGACCCATTACAATAACTTCCCACTGGGAAGTTAATAATAGTTCGAAGTCATAGCTTTTACTATACAGTCTACAAAATACCCATGCTGAACATCAGGCTTCCTCCACAGATTGTCTTTTAGGGAGGGATTTTGCCATAGTAGCATGGCACGTTGGTTGGCAAAGGAGCTTTTTATTACTTTGGTAGTGGTTATCAGGAAGATGCAGCTGCCCAGCAGCTGTTTTAGATTCCCTTTGTCTCCTCTTGCGACACCCACGGGACGATATGAGGTAGAAAATATTCTTATACCCCCACTATCTGGCAAATTATACAATACATTCGTACCTCACTCACTGGAGCCGCACGGTGAAATAATAGCTACGAGTTCATAGCTCTCTGAGAAATGACAGGAGGCCTGTGCCCAGCAGTGGTAAGCAGTAAAAATACTTGTTGTGTGTCTTTGTAGTAGTAAGTAGAACAAACATTATGATTTCTTAAATTTACGTGAACACTACACACTGAATAAAACTATATAAACGGATTTTATCGCGTTTAATAAACTTATTTTAACTTATTTTTAATTCCCAATATTTCGGGTGCTTTATAGCACCCATGGTCACAGGGGGGGGGGGTCAATTATTCAACAGAATAAACATTGACTAGAAATGTTTTTGACATTTTTCTTTTTTTAATTTGCTTACAAAATCCTTTTGCCTATTTATGTAAATTTCATTTTTCTTCATTAGGGTGCGATCCACAACGGCTTTGCATGGGTGATCTAGACACGCGGTAGCGTGTCAAGCCAAGTTCACGCAGAATGGTGAGCCGCACCGTGTGTAATATTACACGAACCATTTGGAGCCACTTTTGACCCCGTCATAACTCAAAAACTATTTCACATAAATGTTTCAAATTTGGCACATATATTGAGAATTGCAAGATACATATTATGTGCTTCAAATTTCATAAACACATCTCAAACGGCTATTTAGATATTAACGTCCAAAAATCGTCATTTTTGTCACTGACTGACTTTAGATCAAAACTCTAACCCAGTTCCAGATAATGATGATGATATAATATAATTCGTACGCTTATTCGTTCGTCGGCTACAATATATTATCCTAAGTTATAAGAAGAAATGATATTTTATGTT